TATAAGTAAGTTATAAAAATTAATATTTAAAATTTTATTAAAAATTTTTAAAAACTTATTAAAATTTTAAATATGCAAGCAAATTTGTCTACATTATAATTTAAGGAAAAATATCAATTATAAATAATTCTATCTTTTTAAAAAATTTAATTTTAATTCTAATTATTGGATTTTTTAAAAAAATTTTATAATTTCTAAAACAAAATTTAAATGAGAATTAAAATTTAGATATATTTTTTTAATAATTTTTTTAGTTTAAAAATTCTTAAATTATTTATAAATTAATAATTTATATAGTTAATAATTTATATTATTGATAAAAAAACTTGATATATTTTAATAAAACAATTATTAAAAAATTAACTTTTAAACTTTAAATTTGTTTGATTTAAAAAAAAACTTTTTGAAATACAGTTTTTATCAATTTAACTTAAAATTCTTAACAAGTTAATCCAAGTCAACTTTAAATATATTTAAGATATTTTTAATATAGTAAATTATATTTTAATCAAATTTTACAATATTATTTATATTATGTAAATTTATATAAACCTATATAAGTCAAAAAACAAATTATTTTCAAAACCTTTATTTTATTATATAATTTGTTATAAAATTATATTGCAAAAAAAAATTTTTTAAATTAAGCAAACTTAAAATTTAAAAATTAATTTTTTAAAAATTGTTATATTAAAAATATATTAAGTTTTTTTATTAGTAATTAGAAATCATAATAAATTATTTATTCTAATTAAATTTAAATTCATAAAAAATTAACTTTTTAAAAGAAATGTATTAAAAAGAATTATATACTGTATATTTATATATTTAATGATTTATTATTATATTGAAATATATTTATTTTTTAAAAATTAACTTATTTGCAATATACAATTTTTGTTATAGTCAAACGAACTTTATATGAATTTTTATATAGCCGATATAATAGAGTCAATAATCAATCGCCATTATTTCATTTTTAGATTGCTCGAGTAATTCCTCCACATTAAATGGTTCCAAATTTCCTATACAATAACAAGCCAACATAAATCACCTATATCTAAGAAAAAAATCTAAATTAAATTTAAGAATATATACCGCGTGATTCCACCTGTTTTTTCAAGAGCAATAACTGGTCTCGATTATATTCGATTGCTGATTTTTGACACTGCTTTATTGTTCCTTATTTATGATCACGAATAATAGAAATGAGATTAACCTCATAAAAATTGATGATAATAGAAAGAAATTACCTCCTAAATGTAATACACGAAAAATGCAAAATCTGGATTTTATTTGGGTGATAAAAGTTAGCGCCCCCCAGGCAAAATGATAATGTTCTCTCGATACTCTTATGATGCCAATATTCGTGTATGATGAAAAATATTTAACTGAATTTTCGTTAAAACTGAAATATAAATATGATTTACACCGTAAAAAGTATAGTAAAAAAATACCGCTTAGAGAAGAAGCAACACAACCAGAACCATAATCCCCAAAATTTTGTTGAATAGATTCTTTTATGGCTGAACTGATATCACGAGGTGTCAGTAATTCACGCTTTTTCTGTGAGTTGTCTTCAAATATGATTTCAAATAAGAGCCAACGATTCTTTAAACGGACCATGATTTTGACTAATAAGAAAGATACGTGTTTTGATTGGCAATTAGAAACATTAATAAATTAAGTTTTTATATTATATTTTTTACTTTTATTTTTACTTTTAAAAAAAAACTATAAAACTTGATAAAAAATTTTTATACAAATGTACTTTTAATTGCAATTAGATATTATTTTTTATTTGATTTTTAATAGAAGTCACCATTCAAGAATTAGATAAAGAACTTTTAGAGACTAGTTATAAAACAATATAATATTTTTTTCAATACTAAAATATAAAAACAAAAGCAAAAAGTAAAATTAGAATTCAATCAAATAACAGATATAGCTAATAAATATATCCAAAGAAATAGAAGAACTTTAATCAATTTAAATATCTTATACTTTTTTTTATATTTTTATAAGTTTTAAATATAATTTTTTTTTTTTAATAAATTAATATTTGCAAAATTATTTCTTATAATTAAACAAAAGTGACAAAATAATTTAAATTTAATGATTTTTATATTAAAAAAAAAATTGATATTTCTAACTAATTTGTTATTGTTGCAAAAAATTTTAAATAAATCAATAACTATTTTTTAATAAAATTAAAATGGTAAATATTTATAAAATGTTTTACAAATAATTTTTTTAAATTTTATTAATTATTTTTTTATTATATTGTAATAAAATAATTAAATTTTATTATATTATTTATTTTTATTATTTATTTTATTATTATTATTTTAGTTTTTTTTAATATTATTTTAATATTATTTTATGAATTTATTCTTGAAATTATTATTTATAGGAAGGAATAGTATCATAATT